CCGTGCCGGCGCAAACATGGCCGCCACCAGCGTCGTCGTCGACGACGACACCGACCACGAGGATGCGACGACTACTAACTCCGCTCATGTACCCCTGAACTTCTTCTTCTTCTTTTTTTTCTCTTTTTCTTTTTCTTTTTCTTTTTCTTCTCGTCGATCAACGTCGCAAACGTTACACGCGAGGACACGTGGCAGATCGAGCCAACGAAACGATTTTCTTTACATTCCCGTTTTATTCGTAATCAACGTGACGATTTCAACCGATTACGGGGGATGTGGCGATATTCGCGGACCCAGCTTCACCCCTGGCCCAAAATTAAAGTATAACCGAGTAACTTGGTTGGTGCGCATGTTCGTGTTTCAGGATGGTTCGTAAGATCGATAGGGAAGACGGTGGTTTCGTGACCGACCGGCTTCAGGGGCTGGTTTCGATTTTAGGGTAAAGTCGATTTACCACGGCTATTGTTCCCAACAAATATAACACGTTCCGAAGTGTTACGAAGTTTTACGCTTCGCTCTAACACGTATGATTTCCCGCTGATTCGACAACTATATCGATCGATATATTTATTGTAAATTACAGGGCAGGGGGTCTATTTCGAGTAAATGGCGATCGTTTAAATTATAATTATATAGTAAAATATAGGATAAAAATTATTAATTTTCTTACTTCGTTACAACTTTAACGAAAAAGAAAATAATTTCGAAATTTATTTATTTATTGGCACAATTAAATTATAAAGATAATTATCGTTCATGCCTTAGTATTGGTCATATTGCGAACAATAGAGATCCGATCATCGTTGATCGTCAATAAAATTGAATATTGAATGATTACGAGAATAGAAAAAATTTATAGAAAACCACAATGATATCGTGTAAACAAAAAGAGCTGCATATTTTGAACATGTTGTTTCATAATTATTAACATATTCATCTAAGGATATTACATATATATTTCTTTGTAAGGATTTTCAATCAAATTACACAGATCTTTGAAATTTTTCTAATCATCGTTACACGAAACGATAGAATTTGAAATATAAGATACATTCGCATCTTGCTGAAAAAGATTATCGCTAAAAACCATCGTTCATATATATACGCTTTTGTTTAAAGAGTTGCATTAAATTAAACGAAGTATAAGTTGATGATAATTGAACGTGAAAATTTCTCGATGTCGATGCACGAGCTGGTTCTCATTATCGATCACATTAAAATCGCATAGCTCTCCCCGTTAACGGGGACACGGCCGTTATTTCGACGATTAAACGTGAGACGTTCTACGCTATCGAGAGCGTGATTCTATACGAATAATTAGCGATTCTTTCGGATAACGATAAGAAAGGACGAGAGAGGAAAGATTCGGGAGGCTATTTCCGAGGCGTGGAAAATAATACGGCATCTTCGACATCGCGTAGCAATTCCTGCTCGACATACGACGTTCGAATCGCGTGCGAAAGAAGGAAAACGAATTTGTCTTGTCGTTTCGAGCACAGAGACTCGAGGAAATAGATATAATGCCGTGTCGAGAAGACGTAGAAATGATAAAGATAAACATACCTGGGTATCGGTAACTAAGTATCGTACGATAATGTTCATTGATAAGAACTCGAGAACTTATCGTTTCAAAATATTTCTTCTATTTCTATGTATTAGGAATTAAATTTACGATTAACTTGAAAAATAATTTCAATAATTGGTAAAATGGATATCTATCGTTTTACGAAGCAAAATTGACGTGCAATTTAAATTAAATGATGTTAATAAAAATAGATAATATCGGTTTATTATCGAAACGTTTATTTTTAGATAAAATAAAATACGTTTTAAAATGTCATTTAATATAATTTTATTTCTTCTCGATCTTTTTTAAAATCCTAATCATCGGGAATATTCTAAAAATAATACGATTCTTGCGATATAAGAAGAATTTTCGCATATTTTCGAACGATGAACAGAATTTAAATCGGAATGGTAGAAAAAGCGAAATCTCGGTGTTAATTCGCGGCAATAGATGACACGAGACAAAGACAATGTTGTTCGGTTCGTTAAACAAACGCATCCGCGAGACACGCCGCTCGACCAACTATGGGACAAGTTGACTGCGCTTTCTAGCCACCGGAAGTCAGCTGTTATCTCAAGAAGTAAGCTGGCACCGAACGACAAAAACTCGTCGTCGTCTTCGTCCCGTCTTTGACGCGAGGCGACCCACATTTGGCTACCGCACCGTTTCATTGTAATACGTGCGACGCGATTCATAATCGTAATTTTATAACATACGACATATATCAATAAATTGAAAAATCGAAACGTTTTCGTTCTTAAATTAAAATGAAAACAAACGACATCGATATTTCGATGAATAGACCCCCCCATTTATACGAAATTGATGAAAGTCTTTTTTTTCTTTTTCTTAACTTGTGAGATATTCAAGAGTTTATATACATATTTTTATTTATAAAAAAACCGATACCTAATCACAATTGTATATAAATTTCTCCATGTTTTAAATTTAAATACATGTAAATTCGTATACGTTTTAATTTCGTTTCATTCTTATATTTCTGCAAATTGAAATATTTTTGCAATTTATCCAATGTTTGAATAAATTAAATGAGAAAGAAACGAATAGAAGACTCTTGCAACACTTTCGTAATCGAACGTAATGCTTGA